TGGCCTATTAAGGGCAACACATCTGACAATGAAACTCCTTATTTTACCCATTCATTTCTCCCCTGGGGTTTCCTATTTTAGGGAGGATTCCCTCTCTCCCTCTCTCCCTCTCTCCCTCCCTCCTTCTCTCTCTTTGTTCCCCCCTCCCACCTCCCCGCCTCCGTCTGTCCTGGAACTCAGTATGTGCTGGCAGCTTTGTGAACAGGAGCTAAGGGCATGTGTGTCCAAACTAGATAGCAGGCAGCTGCAGCCAGTTCAGAGACAACTTCAGTCTAGGGCCAGGTTAAATGAGGTGAAGTGGTTGCCAGCCGCCTCCGCCTACTGGCTGCCAGCTGGGGTGGCTCTTGTCCATGCCGAAGCCACGTGAGAGGCAAGTCCAGGAACCCAGCAGGAACTCACAGTCCTTTGCTTCTGATGAACGCTTGTCACCCCTCTCTCTCTCTCCCTTTTTCCACGTGCTATGCCTGCTAGCCAGAGCTGAGAGGCCTCCTGGCTTTTCACCAGGATGTTGCCAGGAAGTTGTAAAAAAATGCGGGGGTGGGGGTTTGTAAGGGGAAGAATCCAGTTGAAGAGGAATCGGTCTGGAAACGCAGAGTTTCTGAAAGTCTGGGAAGCTGTCAGTGCAGACCTTCCCCACTTCCTCGGCAGGTCAGCCTTGTGAGGGATTCCACCCCTACGACAGGACCTTCTCAAAGGAATCCCCTGCTTAATGTAACACTTTTCAAATATTAAGAAATCAGTACACACACTGAAAAGTCTCTCCTGATCATCTTTTCTGCTTGTCTTCTCCGTACTTTTTGCCATCTGGACCATGTTCCCAATAACTAAAGCCAGAGTGATCTAAGGAGGAGAGAATAATTCAAACTTTCAGTGTGGTGGCACTTGCGGACAAATTGATGCTTGAAGTAGGCAGGATCAGATTGCCCGGCTGAGGTGGGAGGACAGGGTGTTCTGGCGCAGTCTGTCCCCAGTAGTGCGACTCACTATTTGAGACTAGTCTCAAAACACCAGTCAAAACTAAACAAAACCAAAATCATTTGGTGGTTCCTAACTCCACAGCGCAAATACAGACACATTCAGGAGCTGTCGGCCACTCCATGAAACCCCTCCCTCCCGAATATCAAAGGGCTCCAGCCATACCGGCAGATCATCCAGGCTTTCCTTTATCCGGTCCTTGCCCGGCCACATTCTACGCATCTTGCAACTTACTCATCCTGCACCTGGCTCTCACACGACCTCTTGGGAGGCGCCAAACACAGCTATCACATCCAAACTGTCTTCCCCCTCACAGTAGAGGTCTACTTCTTCGAAACACCCTTCCTCCCCTTGTGGCACAGAAAGGTCATCAAGTCTGTTAACTTGCAGGAAGGTAGAAATAGTAACGCTCGTGCTAATTGCACACCTGGCGCTGTTCTAGGCAGCCTGAGTATATAAATTCGTAGAATCTACAGAGCTCAAGGATTAATACATCTTCACTTTGCCAATACCATAGTTAGAGCACCGAGGAATTAGCTATCTTTCCTCGGGTGGTAAGAGAGCTGAGCTGAAGTTTGAAGCGGGCAGACCACGAAGGAGCTAGGAGGTTAAACGAGGGGACCTTAGAGAAGCAGGCAGGGTCTATTCCGTCCACATCTAAGGGTTTTTCCTGCTCCCTAGCATTTTTCTCACAGGAAGCTTACTTTATACAGTAGAAGACAGAGTCGATGATAGGGTGTTTGTAATTTCGGGCGCACCGCAGGGAGCCAAGCTACTTAACTGAATGGGAAGGGAAGCCTACACGAGTCCTCCCGGTCAAACTACAACTCCCAGGAGGCATCGGGCACACACAGCCCGCGCGATGTTACAGCGGGGGAGGGCGCAGGCGGGCTCGGCTAGCCGGGCGGGTCGACTGCTTCGGCGGTTCCGCTCGGACCCGGGCCCAGCGTCCGGCCTCGCGGTAAGTGGAGTAACTCACAGTAACTCACACAGACCCCTCCGGCGGACGCTTGGCAGCACAGGTCCTCAGCCTCCACCCCTGCACGGAAGTGCGCATGGGCGGGGGCTGGCATCTACCATATGGGGGGACTCTGGCCGGACTAAGTGACCCAGCGGAGGGGGAGCTCCGATGGGGGAACTCTGGGACCTCAGTTTCGCTGCATGCACCCTTATTCTCCCGTGCGCTCTGCTTGTCTCACGGACGCAGTCCTCAAAGGCTCGGTCCCGTAACGCCGAGTAGGGGGTCAAATCCACCCCTGAATGGGGGTGTCCAGAACCTGAGGGAGCTGGGGAGAGGTTTTATGGCTAGAATGGACCGGAGATTACTTCCCCCGCTTCCCCGAATGCGCACACAAACCTTCAGGTTGTTTCAGAGAGAAGAGTAGAACACCCGGAGAGTGTTGTCCAACCTCGGCCTGAGCGTGTCTCGGGAGATGGTTGTAAGGGCTGGGCAAGTTTGTCCAGGTCTGAGAATACTGGTGTGCACTTGGAGAAATAGTGCAAACCATCTCGATTCGGAGTCTTACAACCGCCTTCCACCACTCCAATAGATGGAAGCTGCCGTGCCGGCGCTGAGCATGTCAGCATCTTCGAGAGACCCACATCCCTGATATCCGGGAGAAGCCCTGCCCACTCTCTCTTTACTCCGCTTTGGGGTCAGCGCTGTCTCTTGGGTCCTTGGCCCCGTATTGGCAGCCTAGCTCAACAAAGAAGCAGGACAATGATACTGACTTCAGTGCTGGGCAGCGGCCCTCGGAGTGGGCCTTCACTGTGGCCCCTTTTGGGGTCCTCACTGTCACTCCGGGCACGATCAACATCAGCCACCGATACACACCATGTAGAGCTGGCCAGGGAACGCTCCAAGACTGTTACTTCCTTTTACAACCAGTCAGCCATTGACGTGGCAGCAGAGAAGGTACGCTCTTTAGGTGATGGGCAAAAGTAAAGCTGGAGTAAATCTTAAGGGAAAGGGTTGAGCTAATGTCAGGTTGGTGGGGTCTTGAGTGTCTGGTGCTCAAAGCCCCCCTTCCCTTTTAGCCTTCAGTCCGCCTCACTCCCACCATGATGCTCTATTCTGGCCGCTCCCAGGATGGCAGTCACCTTCTGGTAAGGCTCTCTCTTTCTCTCTGCTCCAGAGGTTCTAGCCTGCTGCTTGGGACCCTCCCTCATTTTTTTTTTTTTTTTTAATAGAAAAGTGGCCGCTATTTGCAACAGGAGTTACCAGTGAGGATTGCTCACCGGATCAAGGGCTTCCGTAGCCTCCCTTTCATCATAGGTTGCAACCCCACCATACTGCATGTGGTAAGGCAGTGGGGACCTTCATTTAATATGCACACTGCTCAAGAGGCAAATGGGGGAGCCCAGCCCTGCCAAAAGGTGTCAGGCCTGGATGGGACTAAGCCTCAGAATGTCAGAGGCCAGGACTATATTCATGGGAGCTGAAAGGGTCCACTGGGGCTAAGACCTTACTAACTGAATTGGGTGTTGATCCCTATGGGTGGCTGTTTACTACTCAGGCGTCTGTAGCACCTCTGTGAATTCCCATGCTTATTCCGTGCAGCACGAGCTATACATCCGGGCCTTCCAGAAGCTGACAGACTTCCCTCCGGTGAGGCTGGGCTGAATAGGGTAAGGGGCCAAGGTCAGGGGTGGACCACCCGTGCTCATGACTCTGTGACCCGCAGATCAAGGACCAGGCCGATGAGGCCCAGTATTGCCAGCTGGTGCGACAGCTGCTAGATGACCACAAGGATGTGGTGACCCTGTTAGCTGAGGGTCTTCGTGAGAGCCGGAAACACATAGAGGTCAGAGGCAATAGAGAACGGGCCTGGCGAAGTAGGATGGTTGAGAAGGGGGCACAGGTTTCTAAGACTCTCTCTTTATAGGATGAAAGGTTGGTCCGGTACTTCTTGGACAAGACACTGACGTCAAGACTTGGCATCCGCATGCTGGCTACTCACCACTTGGCACTACATGAGGACAAGGTGGAGCTGAGACCCCTGACAGATCTGAGAATGTGAAATGGGGATAGGCACCTGAGCCACAGGCCCCCCTTGGGGCTGGGGATGGACTTTGTAGCTGCTCTGGCATTCCAGATTGTGGGAACTTTGGCAGCTGAGGTGGGGGTGGGGATGTTGCTAGTTCTGACCTTCTTTTTCCTGCCAGCCTGATTTTGTTGGCATCATCTGCACTCGTCTGTCACCAAAGAAGATTATTGAAAAGTGGGTGGATTTTGCCAGGTGAGACTAGAATGGTGCAATGGGTAGATGGCTCAGGGGCAGGGAAGGCTTCTGGTCCTGGCGTGTTCTAGGGCGAGGCTTCTTTGTTTTCTTTTTAATTACTTTTATGTGTGTGGGAGTTTTGCCTCCATGTGTGTCTGTGCACCATATGCGTACAGGACTGCAGAGGAAAGAGGAGGCTGTGAGCCACCGTGTGGGGTGCTGGGAACCAAACGTAGGTCCTCTGCAACAGCAGCAAGCGCTCTTAACTGCTGAGCCATCTCTCTCTGAGCCACTCTTGGTTTATTTTTTAATTACGTTTAATTATTTGTGTGGGAATGTGCACGTACATGTGTGGGCGTGTACCACAGTGTGGCCAGAAGACAACTTGATGTAGTCACTTTTCTTCTTCCACTATGTGGGATCGAGGGATTAAGCACAAGTTGTCAGGCTTGGTGGCAAGTGCCTTTACTCACTAAGCCCCTTTTTTTATTTCTTATTTCTTTAAGATTAAGTCTCACTTTGTAAGCTTGGCTGGCCTGGAACTTACTCTGTAAACCAGGCTGGCTTCAAACTCATAGATTCACTTGCCATTGCCTCCCCAAATGTTGGGATTAAAAGTGTGTGCTATCCTGCCTGGCCACTGAGCCATTTCAGTAGCCTCTGATTTTGTCTTGAGGCAAGATTTCACTGTACAGCCAAGGTTGGACTGGAACTTGGAATTACCCTGTCTCAGTCTTCTTCGTGCTGGGATTACAGATGTGTGTCACCATGCGTAGTTTAATCAGGGCTCTCAGCATTGGCACTCTTTTTTTTTTTTTTTTTTTTGTTTCTTAAGATTTGCTTGTTTTCTATGTGTATAAGTGTTTATTTGCACGTATCTTTGTGTACCATGTTTGTGCTTGTTGCCCACAGAGGTCCCTTGGAATCAGAGTTATAGGCAGTTGTGAGCTGACCAACATGGGTGTTGGGATCCAAACTTGAGTCCCCTGAAAGAACAAATACTCTGAATAGCCAGGAACCATCTCTCCAATCCCACTGTCGACATCTTAAGCTAGTGGAGGGCTCTTGTCTTTTAGGCTGTTTAATACATCCTTGATGTCATTTGACACCAGAAATACCCTTCAGTGTGATGTGCAAAACTATATCCATGTGTTGCCCAGTGCCCCCTGAGAAGAAGAATCACCTCAAGCTGAGAGCTATACTGTAGGGACATCTACGGAACTTTATATCCACAGACGCCTGTGTGAGCACAAGTATGGCAATGCCCCTCGAGTCCGCATCAACGGACACGTGGCTGCCCGTTTCCCCTTCATCCCCATGCCACTGGACTACATCCTGCCTGAGTTGCTCAAGAACGCCATGAGGTGGGCAGGCTGGCTGTAATGGGTGGGGGAAGACAGAACCTCGGGTACCACCACCTGTTTATCTTCCTTTCCTGAATAGAGCCACAATGGAGAGTCACCTAGACACTCCCTACAATGTTCCAGATGTGGTCATCACCATCGCCAATAATGATATTGATCTCATCATCAGGTTTGTGCAAATAGAATTGGGCTGGGATGGATGAAGGTGCTGGGCTGTAGGACCTCAAACCAGAACCTACCCCCTCTGGGACTTGGACCCTGGTCAGAAAGTATATTCATTGATCCTAAGGTTGTCAGAAGCTGGACATTATAGATTTAGGGCCAGCTGACGGACCTGGAGTTGGGCAAAAGGTGTTTGATGAGAATAAATGTCAAATCTTACAAGAAATCAGAAGCAGTCTGTGGCCCAGGCAGAGGTGAGGTTAGAGGAAGATAAATCAAGCCATAGTCTACGGTTAGGTGGAACAAGAAGACACTCAGCACCGTCTGCTTAGGGGGCTATTGGGACCACATCAGACTTGACCAAGTCCGTCTTGTCAATATCCTTCCAGGATTTCAGACCGGGGTGGAGGAATTGCTCACAAAGACCTGGATCGGGTCATGGACTACCACTTCACCACAGCTGAGGCCAGCACCCAGGACCCCCGAATCAGCCCCCTCTTCGGCCACCTGGATATGCACAGCAGTGGCCAGTCAGGACCTATGCATGGGTGAGGCCCCACCTGCCCAAGACGGGAAGGGTAGACCAGGACACTTAAGCCTCTGACATCCCTATCCTATCCACTGCCCCCAGCTTTGGCTTCGGGTTGCCCACGTCCAGGGCCTACGCGGAGTATCTCGGTGGCTCCCTGCAGCTGCAGTCCCTGCAGGGCATTGGCACAGATGTCTACCTGCGGCTCCGCCACATTGATGGCCGGGAGGAAAGCTTCAGAATCTGATGGCGGATTTTTGGCCTGCTAACCTGCCACACTCCTCGAAGGACCTTCTGGGCCTGGCAGGGGCCACTGTGCTGTGCACGCTGCTGCTTCGTGGAGCTTCAGGGCCTCAGACAGGTGGACAGACACGGAGCTGGGCACCACTCCTCCTCAGCAGGGCCCACTGCTTCCTACCTCCAAGTCTTGGAGGAGAGAAAGCAGGGACCCCTGAGGCCTCCAATACCAGCTCTGCCGTGCTCACTCTTGAGGAGTCCTTATTTGACCTGCTGTTTATTAAAGTTTGCATTTTGAATGCCCTCTTGGGCCCCAAATGTTGGGAGGGCAGGTGAGCTTTTGTTTCTGCCTGCTTTGGAGTTCGCTAGGCCCTGGGAGTTAACCTGGTCATGTCCACAGTCTAGCTGTCCTAGCACCATGGCAAGAGGAGAACTGGTCCCAAGGTTCTTGCCTATTTAACTTGGCAGGAGTGGGGTTGACTCTGGAAACTTCTGTTCATTGAACAAACTTGCTGGGCCCCAGACGATATGAGAAGACCCAAAAGACTTATCTTCAGGCCCAACACTTCCCTGCCTGGCAGTCATAAATTTCAGTGGTAAAGGTCACTGGACTGGGCAGCCTTTAAGCCACCTGATTCCTGAGCTTGAGTGAGGTTAAAAATACTGTCTACCAACTGTAACTGCAAAAAGAAATGCTTAAGGTTATGCAGATACCTGGGAACCTCACAGAGATGAAGTCCTCTCAGGGAGGGCCAAGGACGTGGGTGGAAAGCACTTAAGCAGAACTGCCTGGAACAGAACCTCGGATGGATTCCAACTGAAAGCACCTCTTCCCCTGTTTAGGACCTAAGGACTTCCTTGGTGGGACTGGATGGAAGAATCAGATTGTTTTGTTTGCTTTTTGTTTTTGATTCTGGGTCTTATGCAGGCTGGCTTCACACTTTCTATCAGTCGAGGATGACCTTGAAATTCTGATCTTCACCATGTCTACACATACTGAAATTACACTCAT